ATTTTTGGACCTGAAGAAACAGCTCACAGAAGCCAATTCAAATCGAATCGTTACAGTCAGGAACTCCGCCAAGTAACGGATGCGTACAACGAAGAAATAGAAAGAGTTCAAAAAAATTCTCAAAAAGCGCAAGAATTTCATCGACTTGCAATACAGACTCGATTTTCTGGAAAAAATAATAAAAAGACTAAAAACATACGAGTCAGAAATAGAGATGCTGCGTACTCAACTGAAGAACCTAGGAAGATCAGAGAGCCCTAAACCATCTCTGAAGCTCAAAATATTGAGTCAAAAAAGAAGGTTGCAGACTTAGAAGCTATGCTTGACGCTGATACGAAGATATGCAAGATTCTTTAAGTGCTGCTACACAAACTGATGTAACGATGTCACACATTGCTGAACTGCAAGATGAAATTGGCTTCCTAAAAGAACTTGAATCTAAACTGAGAAATGACGTAAAGAGTCTGATGGACGAGAGTAACCAACGTGAGGTCAACCACTCATTTAAAATCTCAGATATACGATGCCATAATGATTCTACTATAAAAGAGCTTCAGGATCAAATGGCTGAACTGGAATGCCAAAACGAAATCTGGATTATGAAAAGTGCCCCCCTCTTTATAACCCGTGAAATAGCCCTAGTTCTAATTAAATTTCAGTTCAAGCTTCCAAAATGACTTCCACAATATTAAAGTAGCCACAAAGATCAGACCAATGATCCACCGCGAAGTAGCCGATGGTCTAGAGCGTCTTTGGAACGTAAGAGTAAACTGCATATGGGAAGCCGATGAAAGTAGTCGCCATGGAGAGGTTTATATATTCGACCATGTATTTAATCAGGAATGTACAAATTCAGATGTATATGGATCTGTAGTAAAACCTTTAGTCGATTCCTTCATGGAAGGTTTCAATGCCACAATATTTGCATATGGCCAAACATCTTCTGGCAAAACACACACCATTTTGGGCAATAAAACAGATCCTGGGCTTTTCCAATTAGTATCCAATCAGTTATTCCAGCATGTGGCAGACCAGGTTGATAAGAGGTACTTGATTAGATGCAGTTATATTGAAATCTACAATGAAAAGATCAATGACCTCCTGGATAAGAGCAATCAGGGTTTAACTATGAGAAGATATCAAAGGAAATGTGCTGCTTGATGCAAGGGAAGCTGTCGTAGACAATGTTGATAAAGTTATGGAGAACATGATGCAGGGCAATAAGATCAGACGAGTTGCAGCTACTCGCATGAATGAGAGGTCATCTCGATCACACACGATTTTCCGGATTATTCTGGAGTCGAAAGATGCCAATCAGAAAGATGGACCTGTACATATAAGCTACCTTAACTTAATGGACTTAGCTGGTTCTGAGAGAGTTTCTCTGACGAAAGCTGCTGGTGAGCGTCTTAAAGAGGGGGCTAACATAAACAAATCTTTGTCAGTATTAGGAAATGTGATAAGGCAACTAAGCGAGGGGAAGGAGTTTATCAGTTATCGCGATTCGAAATTGACTAGACTGCTCTCACAGGCTCTTGGCGGTAATGCCAAATCATTGATTATCGGGAATGTTACTTTAGCTGCAGAGGAGGAGACTAGATCTACACCAGAATTCGCCCAAAGCACTAAAACTGTCAAAAATAAAACGAAAGTAAACATCTTGTCAGCTACAGAAGAGACACTTCAAGGATATCAGAACTTGACTCGCGATCTCGAAACTCGGCTCAAAAAGCAGGCAATTAAGCTAAAAGAGATGGATAAAAGCAAACAAGAGTATCTGCTCGAGATAGAAAGACTAAAACGGAAGTATCTATTGTCGGGCGCTTTCAAATGGGAGCCTCGGCATCAACACCGAAAAAAACATTAAGACGTCATACTTTTGGACACTATGGCAACGTATCACCTAAAAAAGCATCCCTAGGGTATATGCCATTGAAAAATTATCCACCCAAAGAAGAATCATCCGGACGTGAAATGAGGCCTATTCAAGAAGAGACATATGAGGAGGCACTAGCCGAAGCAGAATCTGTGATAGCTGAAGACGTGCAAGTGTACTTAAAAGACAACGCAAAGAACTGGAAGAATCTTTCAATGAGCTTAGAGAATTCACTAAACTAGATAATCAGCTGGAGATTTTGGACCTGAAGAAACAGCTCACAGAAGCCAATTCTAAAATCGATCGTTACAGTCAGGAACTCCGCCAAGTAACGGATGCGTACAACGAAGAAATAGAAAGAGTTCAAAAAAATTCTCAAAAAGCGCAAGAATTTCATCGACTTGCAATACAGACTCGATTTTCTGGAAAAAAATAATAAAAACTAAAAACATACGAGTCAGAAATAGAGATGCTGCGTACTCAACTGAAGAACCTAGGAAGATCAGAGAGCCCTAAACCATCTCTTGAAGCTCAAAATATTGAGTCAAAAAAGAAGGTTGCAGACTTAGAAGCTATGCTTGACGCTGAGTACGAAGATATGCAAGATTCTTTAAGTGCTGCTACACAAACTGATGTAACGATGTCACACATTGCTGAACTGCAAGATGAAATTGGCTTCCTAAAAGAACTTGAATCTAAACTGAGAAATGACGTAAAGAGTCTGATGGACGAGAGTAACCAACGTGAGGTCAACCACTCATTTAAAATCTCAGATATACGATGCCATAATGATTCTACTATAAAAGAGCTTCAGGATCAAATGGCTGAACTGGAATGCCAAAACGAAATCTGGATTATGAAAAGTGCCCCTCTTTATAACCCGTGAAATAGCCCTAGTTCTAATTAAATTTCAGTTCAAGCTTCCAAAATGACTTCCGACAATATTAAAGTAGCCACAAAGATCAGACCAATGATCCACCGCGAAGTAGCCGATGGTCTAGAGCGTCTTTGGAACGTAAGAGTAAACTGCATATGGGAAGCCGATGAAAGTAGTCGCCATGGAGAGGTTTATATATTCGACCATGTATTTAAGCAGGAATGTACAAATTCAGATGTATATGGATCTGTAGTAAAACCTTTAGTCGATTCCTTCATGGAAGGTTTCAATGCCACAATATTTGCATATGGCCAAACATCTTCTGGCAAAACACACACCATTTTGGGCAATAAAACAGATCCTGGGCTTTTCCAATTAGTATCCAATCAGTTATTCCAGCATGTGGCAGACCAGGTTGATAAGAGGTACTTGATTAGATGCAGTTATATTGAAATCTACAATGAAAAGATCAATGACCTCCTGGATAAGAGCAATCAGGGTTTAACTATAAGAGAAGATATCAAAGGAAATGTGCTGCTTGATGCAAGGGAAGCTGTCGTAGACAATGTTGATAAAGTTATGGAGAACATGATGCAGGGCAATAAGATCAGACGAGTTGCAGCTACTCGCATGAATGAGAGGTCATCTCGATCACACACGATTTTCCGGATTATTCTGGAGTCGAAAGATGCCAATCAGAAAGATGGACCTGTACATATAAGCTACCTTAACTTAATGGACTTAGCTGGTTCTGAGAGAGTTTCTCTGACGAAAGCTGCTGGTGAGCGTCTTAAAGAGGGGGCTAACATAAACAAATCTTTGTCAGTATTAGGAAATGTGATAAGGCAACTAAGCGAGGGGAAGGATTCGTTATTCTCTTGGCGGTAATGCCAAATCATTGATTATCGGGAATGTTACTTTAGCTGCAGAGGAGGAGACTAGATCTACACCAGAATTCGCCCAAAGCACTAAAACTGTCAAAAATAAAACGAAAGTAAACATCTTGTCAGCTACAGAAGAGACACTTCAAGGATATCAGAACTTGACTCGCGATCTCGAAACTCGGCTCAAAAAGCAGGCAATTAAGCTAAAAGAGATGGATAAAAGCAAACAAGAGTATCTGCTCGAGATAGAAAGACTAAAAACGGAAGTATCTATTGTCGGGCGCTTTCAAATGGGAGCCTCGGCATCAACACCGAAAAAAACATTAAGACGTCATACTTTTGGACACTATGGCAACGTATCACCTAAAAAAGCATCCCTAGGGTATATGCCATTGAAAAATTATCCACCCAAAGAAGAATCATCCGGACGTGAAATGAGGCCTATTCAAGAAGAGACATATGAGGAGGCACTAGCCGAAGCAGAATCTGTGATAGCTGAAGACGTGCAAGTGTACTTAAAAGACAACTCAAAGAACTGGAAGAATCTTTCAATGAGCTTAGAGAATTCACTAAACTAGATAATCAGCTGGAGATTTTGGACCTGAAGAAACAGCTCACAGAAGCCAATTCTAAATTCGATCGTTACAGTCAGGAACTCCGCCAAGTAACGGATGCGTACAACGAAGAAATAGAAAGAGTTCAAAAAAATTCTCAAAAAGCGCAAGAATTTCATCGACTTGCAATACAGACTCGATTTTCTGGAAAAAATAATAAAAAGACTAAAAACATACGAGTCAGAAATAGAGATGCTGCGTACTCAACTGAAGAACCTAGGAAGATCAGAGAGCCCTAAACCATCTCTTGAAGCTCAAAATATTGAGTCAAAAAAGAAGGTTGCAGACTTAGAAGCTATGCTTGACGCTGAGTACGAAGATATGCAACATTCTTTAAGTGCTGCTGCACAAACTGATGTAACGATGTCACACATTGCTGAACTGCAAGATGAAATTGGCTTCCTAAAAGAACTTGAATCTAAACTGAGAAATGACGTAAAGAGTCTGATGGACGAGAGTAACCAACGTGAGGTCAACCACTCATTTAAAATCTCAGATATACGATGCCATAATGATTCTACTATAAAAGAGCTTCAGGATCAAATGGCTGAACTGGAATGCCAAAACGAAATCTGGATTATGAAAAAGGACGACGAAATCAGAAAATTGCAACAACTAATTACAAACCCGAAGCAGGCTGGCACTTAACCAGAACCACCTGTGCAGGAAGACGTTGCATTTTATAGGGAGCAAGTTGAGTTCTCCCAGAACATGTACAAAAATGAGATAATAGGTGGAGAGTTACGTATAAACCATAGAGAAAATCTTCAGGCAGTTAAACTAGAAATATGTCTACCCTTGTTTAGTGTTTACGATTATTGCAGGGTTTGGACAAAGTTTAGGGCTGATCCCAGTGCTCACAGTGTACAATTTTCAGCTAATAAATCTTGAATTCTGAGGTAACAAAATCAACTAGAACTCTGAAAAAGTGATTTATCAGAAATCATGCCCTTACTTCCATGATAAGAGGGATTCGTAAAAATTATAAGCAGGTTGTGGCTTATTATCTAGTAAAAGATACAAGAATCCCAGATCTGAAAACGATTATTGTTCATGTGATCACAAACTAGCAGCGACTTGGTTTGTGCGTTGTTGGCACTATTTCTAATCAGGGCGCAACGATCAAAAACGCACTTGAGACGATTTGCTCGGAGAATACTCACGGATCAAGTCCATTCCATTTTATAGTCAATGCTCAGAGTATTTCTACAATTTGTGATGAACCACATTTATTCAAAAATGGATGAAATGCTCTTATTGACATTAATATGAAAGTGAAGAAGCTGCACAGATTGAACATGTCTAGAAATCATATAATGTTGATCAGCAAACAAGACCATACAAAGAGCTATGTAAATTGAAACCCAGCCACTTTGATTTTATAGATTCGTTCAAGAATATAGAAATTAATCCTTTAATGATATCGTCGGATGATTCGAGCTTTCTCAGTTATGTGGTGGGGGTCCCGTGACTTCTCATACGGTATGAGCACGTATACCTCAAACCACAGTTTAATTTAAACATCACAATTGTTGGTTTGTTGACTTTGCGGTCAAATTTGATCCGAGGATGTCAGTTGCGTGTACGATTTGAACTTCCTTCACAATGGATTTTTTCGTTGTTGACGGATGAACAATACACTATAGACTACGCCGAGGACGACGCTGCTATCGATCAACCTGAACAACTTCCTATGGGCGACCTCGCTATGCCTATGGAAAAAACATGTACAATTGGTCAAAACGAGCGCCTGCAACTGGTCGATTATTACGCATTTACCTGAACTAAAGTCCGTGGCAACCAATTTGGAAAATAATAACCCTGTGACTCGAGAAATGCCGATAAATTTCTCCAAATACGTGAAATTTTCGAGACACTCATAGAGAACTGTCGAAATTGTTATATTTCGGGTGAGTCCCCTACAAAATACGAGATGCTCGTGGGCCGATGTCCTTCCTGTGCCTACAAGAAAACTAAACCGAATAAGTATGGACTGATGATGCAAAGACTCACCACTACCTGCTCAATGCTTTCGTCTATACGAACAGAAATATCACAGCAGATGACTGGTTCACGTCAGTAGAATTACATGTAGAATTGCGCATCAACCAACTGACCTATGTCGGCAGGAAGCGTAAAAATAAGTAACAAGTACCCCAACATGTAGTTCCAAATAAGAAGGAAACACAGCCAGGTACTTCTAAGTTTATGTTGTACAGCCTTAGAGTAGTATCTTCCAAAACCAAATACACATGTTCTCGTATAGCAATCTATGCAGCATGATAACAAAATAGTAGAGGAATCAAAGAAACCTGATAAGATCCTATATTATTTTTATAACACTATGAAGGCGGGGGGTAATGCATTAGATCGGAAGTGTGTAAATTACAATACTGGTTAGAGAACGAGAAGATGGCCTTGTGCTATTTTGGTATCCAACCAGCTTCTGTAAATTCCTTTTTTTTCAGTCTGGGACTGAAAGTTCCATTAGGCGACGAAATTTTATTGTTCCCCTGAGGCAAACTCTAATTTAACTTCGTATGAGAGGACGTTTATCAGATCCAAGACTTCCTAGGGAGCTTCGTTCAGCCATTGCAAAGAATCCTAAATTACCAAACGACGAATAAAGTAAGCCGTCTACTTCTCAGCCCAGAGTTCTCGATCCTGATGCAGTTGTTAAAGAAAAAAACGACGTAGGTGTTACATGACAATACACAATGAAAAAAATGTTCTACAATCTGTAATAAGTATGTAAAGTCACAGCGCACTTACATTGTTTCGTGAAAAGTGATAAATGTTAATTATTGTCTGTTTCCTTATACGAGAAAGTATTTGTTTTTGTTGTAGAATATCAACACCAAATATGTTGTTTAAATGGCCCATTTTGTTAGTTTTTTTATGTTCATATTACAGTTCACGTTTCGAGGATTATATTATTGCATTACTCATCTTCAATGGGGTATTTTCGTTTTTAGACAATAAACAGTTTTCATGTAAGAGTGTCTTATTGCGTACAAACCTGTTGTACACATGGCTAAAAACAGTAATGGCATTTCAGATGTTGATAGTAAGATCCGGTGGATAACCTGTTTTGCGAGATTAGACGTGGGATTTCCAACACGAACACCATCTGTTTATTGAAGCATTAAAAACTGTAATAATCAACAATTTCAGTTTTCCATTGACAATAATGAAGAATTATGAAGGCGATTCATGTAAGGCACTAGGTAACTTCGCGTTGCTTTTAGAAGAGTATTGTCTGAATAGACAACAGTTACCTTGTGATTCTTCACCGAGCTGCATTTTTCAAGTTGAAAAATCGGGTGCTGAAAGTGATGGATCTATAGATTTGTGAGAATTTGCTGCTGCTTCAACTTCTTTTTGTAATAACAATAACAGTCTATATGAAATTTAACAATTCTGTTTCTTCTTTGATTTTGAGTCACCCTGTAAATGTAGCTCTACTAAACTATCGGACCGCATTCATAGCCTACAAGAGAAAAAAATCTTCTATACTGGAAAGGAGGAAAAAAAGAATGTATCAACCTGATACATCTGCCCCTCTTTATAACCCGTGAAATAGCCCTAGTTCTAATTAAATTTCAGTTCAAGCTTCCAAAATGACTTCCAACAATATTAAAGTAGCCACAAAGATCAGACCAATGATCCACCGCGAAGTAGCCGATGGTCTAGAGCGTCTTTGGAACGTAAGAGTTAACCGCATATGGGAAGCCGATGAAAGTAGTCGCCATGGAGAGGTTTATATATTCGACCATGTATTTAATCAGGAATGTACAAATTCAGATGTATATGGATCTGTAGTAAAACCTTTAGTCGATTCCTTCATGGAAGGTTTCAATGCCACAATATTTGCATATGGCCAAACATCTTCTGGCAAAAACACACACCATTTTGGGCAATAAAACAGATCCTGGGCTTTCCAATTAGTATCCAATCAGTTATTCCAGCATGTGGCAGACCAGGTTGATAAGAGGTACTTGATTAGATGCAGTTATATTGAAATCTACAATGAAAAGATCAATGACCTCCTGGATAAGAGCAATCAGGGTTTAACTATGAGAAGATATCAAAGGAAATGTGCTGCTTGATGCAAGGGAAGCTGTCGTAGACAATGTTGATAAAGTTATGGAGAACATGATGCAGGGCAATAGATCAGACGAGTTGCAGCTACTCGCATGAATGAGAGGTCATCTCGATCACACACGATTTTCCGGATTATTCTGGAGTCGAAAGATGCCAATCAGAAAGATGGGACCTGTACATATAAGCTACCTTAACTTAATGGACTTAGCTGTTCTGAGAGAGTTTCTCTGACGAAAGCTGCTGGTGAGCGTCTTAAAGAGGGGGCTAACATAAACAAATCTTTGTCAGTATTAGGAAATGTGATAAGGCAACTAAGCATTGCTGAACTGCAAGATGAAATTGGCTTCCTAAAAGAACTTGAATCTAAACTGAGAAATGACGTAAAGAGTCTGATGGACGAGAGTAACCAACGTGAGGTCAACCACTCATTTAAAATCTCAGATATACGATGCATAATGATTCTACTATAAAAGAGCTTCAGGATCAAATGGCTGAACTGGAATGCCAAAAACGAAATCTGGATTATGAAAAAGGACGACGAATCAGAAAATTGCAACAACTAATTACAAACCCGAAGCAGGCTGGCACTTACCAGAACCACCTGTGCAGGAAGACGTTGCATTTTATAGGGAGCAAGTTGAGTTCTCCCAGAACATGTACAAAAATGAGATAATAGGTGGAGAGTTACGTATAAACCATAGAGAAAATCTTCAGGCAGTTTAAACTAGAAATATGTCTACCCTTGTTTAGTGTTTACGATTATTGCAGGGTTTGGACAAAGTTTAGGGCTGATCCCAGTGCTCACAGTGTACAATTTTCAGCTAATAAATCTTGAATTCTGAGGTAACAAAATCAACTAGAACTCTGAAAAAGTGATTTATCAGAAATCATGCCCTTACTTCCATGATAAGAGGGATTCGTAAAAATTATAAGCAGGTTGTGGCTTATTATCTAGTAAAAGATACAAGAATCCCAGATCTGAAAACGATTATTGTTCATGTGATCACAAACTAGCAGCGACTTGGTTTGTGCGTTGTTGGCACTATTTCTAATCAGGGCGCAACGATCAAAACGCACTTGAGACGATTTGCTCGGAGAATACTCACGGATCAAGTCCATTCCATTTTATAGTCAATGCTCAGAGTATTTCTACAATTTGTGATGAACCACATTTATTCAAAAATGGATGAAATGCTCTTATTGACATTAATATGAAAGTGAAGAAGCTGCACAGATTGAACATGTCTAGAAATCATATAATGTTGATCAGCAAACAAGACCATACAAAGAGCTATGTAAATTGAAACCCAGCCACTTTGATTTTATAGATTCGTTCAAGAATATAGAAATTAATCCTTTAATGATATCGTCGGATGATTCGAGCTTTCTCAGTTATGTGGTGGGGGTCCCGTGACTTCTCATACGGTATGAGCACGTATACCTCAAACCACAGTTTAATTTAAACATCACAATTGTTGGTTTGTTGACTTTGCGGTCAAATTTGATCCGAGGATGTCAGTTGCGTGTACGATTTGAACTTCCTTCACAATGGATTTTTTCGTTGTTGACGGATGAACAATACACTATAGACTACGCCGAGGACGACGCTGCTATCGATCAACCTGAACAACTTCCTATGGGCGACCCTCGCTATGCCTATGGAAAAAACATGTACAATTGGTCAAAACGAGCGCCTGCAACTGGTCGATTATTACGCATTTACCTGAACTAAAGTCCGTGGCAACCAATTTGGAAAATAATAACCCTGTGACTCGAGAAATGCCGATAAATTTCTCCAAATACGTGAAATTTTCGAGACACTCATAGAGAACTGTCGAAATTGTTATATTTCGGGTGAGTCCCCTACAAAATACGAGATGCTCGTGGGCCGATGTCCTTCCTGTGCCTACAAGAAAACTAAACCGAATAAGTATGGACTGATGATGCAAAGACTCACCACTACCTGCTCAATGCTTTCGTCTATACGAACAGAAATATCACAGCAGATGACTGGTTCACGTCAGTAGAATTACATGTAGAATTGCGCATCAACCAACTGACCTATGTCGGCAGGAAGCGTAAAAATAAGTAACAAGTACCCCAACATGTAGTTCCAAATAAGAAGGAAACACAGCCAGGTACTTCTAAGTTTATGTTGTACAGCCTTAGAGTAGTATCTTCCAAAACCAAATACACATGTTCTCGTATAGCAATCTATGCAGCATGATAACAAAATAGTAGAGGAATCAAAGAAACCTGATAAGATCCTATATTATTTTTATAACACTATGAAGGCGGGGGGGTAATGCATTAGATCGGAAGTGTGTAAATTACATACTGGTTAGAGAACGAGAAGATGGCCTTGTGCTATTTGGTATCCAACCAGCTTCTGTAAATTCCTTTTTTTTCAGTCTGGGACTGAAAGTTCCATTAGGCGACGAAATTTTATTGTTCCCCTGAGGCAAACTCTAATTTAACTTCGTATGAGAGGACGTTTATCAGATCCAAGACTTCCTAGGGAGCTTCGTTCAGCCATGCAAAGAATCCTAAATTACCAACGACGAATAAAGTAAGCCGTCTACTTCTCAGCCCAGAGTTCTCGATCCTGATGCAGTTGTTAAAGAAAAAAAACGACGTAGGTGTTACATGACAATACACAATGAAAAAATGTTCTACAATCTGTAATAAGTATGTAAAGTCACAGCGCACTTACATTGTTTCGTGAAAAGTGATAAATGTTAATTATTGTATGTTTCCTTATACGAGAAAGTATTTGTTTTTGTTGTAGAATATCAACACCAAATATGTTGTTAAATGGCCCAATTTGTTAGTTTTTTTATGTTCATATTACAGTTCAAGTTTCGAGGATTATATTTATTGCATTACTCATCTTCAATGGGGTATTTTCGTTTTTAGACAATAAACAGTTTTCATGTAAGAGTGTCTTATGCGTACAAACCTGTTGTACACATGGCTAAAACAGTAATGGCATTTCAGATGTTGATAGTAAGATCCGGTGGATAACCTGTTTTGCGAGATTAGATGTGGGATTTCCAACACGAACACCATCTGTTTATTTGAAGCATTAAAAACTGTAATAATCAACAATTTCAGTTTTCCATTGACAATAATGAAGAATTATGAAGGCGATTCATGTAAGGCACTAGGTAACTTCGCGTTGCTTTTAGAAGAGTATTGTCTGAATAGACAACAGTTTACCTTGTGATTCTTCACCGAGCTGCATTTTTCAAGTTGAAAAATCGGGTGCTGAAAGTGATGGATCTATAGATTTGTGAGAATTTGCTGCTGCTTCAACTTCTTTTTGTAATAACAATAACAGTCTATATGAAATTTAACAATTCTGTTTCTTCTTTGATTTTGAGTCACCCTGTAAATGTAGCTCTACTAAACTATCGGACCGCATTCATAGCCTACAAGAGAAAAAAATCTTCTATACTGGAAAGGAGGAAAAAAAGAATGTATCAACCTGATACATCTGCCCCTCTTTATAACCCGTGAAATAGCCCTAGTTCTAATTAAATTTCAGTTCAAGCTTCCAAAATGACTTCCAACAATATTAAAGTAGCCACAAAGATCAGACCAATGATCCACCGCGAAGTAGCCGATGGTCTAGAGCGTCTTTGGAACGTAAGAGTAAACTGCATATGGGAAGCCGATGAAAGTAGTCGCCATGGAGAGGTTTATATATTCGACCATGTATTTAATCAGGAATGTACAAATTCAGATGTATATGGATCTGTAGTAAAACCTTTAGTCGATTCCTTCATGGAAGGTTTCAATGCCACAATATTTGCATATGGCCAAACATCTTCTGGCAAAACACACACCATTTTGGGCAATAAAACAGATCCTGGGCTTTTCCAATTAGTATCCAATCAGTTATTCCAGCATGTGGCAGACCAGGTTGATAAGAGGTACTTGATTAGATGCAGTTATATTGAAATCTACAATGAAAAGATCAATGACCTCCTGGATAAGAGCAATCAGGGTTTAACTATGAGAAGATATCAAAGGAAATGTGCTGCTTGATGCAAGGGAAGCTGTCGTAGACAATGTTGATAAAGTTATGGAGAACATGATGCAGGGCAATAAGATCAGACGAGTTGCAGCTACTCGCATGAATGAGAGGTCATCTCGATCACACACGATTTTCCGGATTATTCTGGAGTCGAAAGATGCCAATCAGAAAGATGGACCTGTACATATAAGCTACCTTAACTTAATGGACTTAGCTGGTTCTGAGAGAGTTTCTCTGACGAAAGCTGCTGGTGAGCGTCTTAAAGAGGGGGCTAACATAAACAAATCTTTGTCAGTATTAGGAAATGTGATAAGGCAACTAAGCGAGGGGAAGGAGTTTATCAGTTATCGCGATTCGAAATTGACTAGACTGCTCTCACAGGCTCTTGGCGGTAATGCCAAATCATTGATTATCGGGAATGTTACTTTAGCTGCAGAGGAGGAGACTAGATCTACACCAGAATTCGCCCAAAGCACTAAAACTGTCAAAAATAAAACGAAAGTAAACATCTTGTCAGCTACAGAAGAGACACTTCAAGGATATCAGAACTTGACTCGCGATCTCGAAACTCGGCTCAAAAAGCAGGCAATTAAGCTAAAAGAGATGGATAAAAGCAAACAAGAGTATCTGCTCGAGATAGAAAGACTAAAAACGGAAGTATCTATTGTCGGGCGCTTTCAAATGGGAGCCTCGGCATCAACACCGAAAAAAACATTAAGACGTCATACTTTTGGACACTATGGCAACGTATCACCTAAAAAGCATCCCTAGGGTATATGCCATTGAAAAATTATCCACCCAAAGAAGAATCATCCGGACGTGAAATGAGGCCTATTCAAGAAGAGACATATGAGGAGGCACTAGCCGAAGCAGAATCTGTGATAGCTGAAGACGTGCAAGTGTACTTAAAAGACAACGCAAAGAACTGGAAGAATCTTTCAATGAGCTTAGAGAATTCACTAAACTAGATAATCAGCTGGAGATTTTGGACCTGAAGAAACAGCTCACAGAAGCCAATTCTAAAATCGATCGTTACAGTCAGGAACTCCGCCAAGTAACGGATGCGTACAACGAAGAAATAGAAAGAGTTCAAAAAATTCTCAAAAAGCGCAAGAATTTCATCGACTTGCAATACAGACTCGATTTTCTGGAAAAAAATAATAAAAAGACTAAAAACATACGAGTCAGAAATAGAGATGCTGCGTACTCAACTGAAGAACCTAGGAAGATCAGAGAGCCCTAAACCATCTCTTGAAGCTCAAAATATTGAGTCAAAAAAGAAGGTTGCAGACTTAGAAGCTATGCTTGACGCTGAGTACGAAGATATGCAAGATTCTTTAAGTGCTGCTACACAAACTGATGTAACGATGTCACACATTGCTGAACTGCAAGATGAAATTGGCTTCCTAAAAGAACTTGAATCTAAACTGAGAAATGACGTAAAGAGTCTGATGGACGAGAGTAACCAACGTGAGGTCAACCACTCATTTAAAATCTCAGATATACGATGCCATAATGATTCTACTATAAAAGAGCTTCAGGATCAAATGGCTGAACTGGAATGCCAAAACGAAATCTGGATTATGAAAAGTGCCCCTCTTTATAACCCGTGAAATAGCCCTAGTTCTAATTAAATTTCAGTTCAAGCTTCCAAAATGACTTCCGACAATATTAAAGTAGCCACAAAGATCAGACCAATGATCCACCGCGAAGTAGCCGATGGTCTAGAGCGTCTTTGGAACGTAAGAGTAAACTGCATATGGGAAGCCGATGAAAGTAGTCGCCATGGAGAGGTTTATATATTCGACCATGTATTTAAGCAGGAATGTACAAATTCAGATGTATATGGATCTGTAGTAAAACCTTTAGTCGATTCCTTCATGGAAGGTTTCAATGCCACAATATTTGCATATGGCCAAACATCTTCTGGCAAAACACACACCATTTTGGGCAATAAAACAGATCCTGGGCTTTTCCAATTAGTATCCAATCAGTTATTCCAGCATGTGGCAGACCAGGTTGATAAGAGGTACTTGATTAGATGCAGTTATATTGAAATCTACAATGAAAAGATCAATGACCTCCTGGATAAGAGCAATCAGGGTTTAACTATAAGAGAAGATATCAAAGGAAATGTGCTGCTTGATGCAAGGGAAGCTGTCGTAGACAATGTTGATAAAGTTATGGAGAACATGATGCAGGGCAATAAGATCAGACGAGTTGCAGCTACTCGCATGAATGAGAGGTCATCTCGATCACACACGATTTTCCGGATTATTCTGGAGTCGAAAGATGCCAATCAGAAGATGGACCTGTACATATAAGCTACCTTAACTTAATGGACTTAGCTGGTTCTGAGAGAGTTTCTCTGACGAAAGCTGCTGGTGAGCGTCTTAAAGAGGGGGCTAACATAAACAAATCTTTGTCAGTATTAGGAATGTGATAAGGCAACTAAGCGAGGGGAAGGAGTTTATCAGTTATCGCGATTCGAAATTGACTAGACTGCTCTCACAGGCTCTTGGCGGTAATGCCAAATCATTGATTATCGGGAATGTTACTTTAGCTGCAGAGGAGGAGACTAGATCTACACCAGAATTCGCCCAAAGCACTAAAACTGTCAAAAATAAAACGAAAGTAAACATCTTGTCAGCTACAGAAGAGACACTTCAAGGATATCAGAACTTGACTCGCGATCTCGAAACTCGGCTCAAAAAGCAGGCAATTAAGCTAAAAGAGATGGATAAAAGCAAACAAGAGTATCTGCTCGAGATAGAAAGACTAAAAACGGAAGTATCTATTGTCGGGCGCTTTCAAATGGGAGCCTCGGCATCAACACCGAAAAAAACATTAAGACGTCATACTTTTGGACACTATGGCAACGTATCACCTAAAAAAGCATCCCTAGGGTATATGCCATTGAAAAATTATCCACCCAAAGAAGAATCATCCGGACGTGAAATGAGGCCTATTCAAGAAGAGACATATGAGGAGGCACTAGCCGAAGCAGAATCTGTGATAGCTGAAGACGTGCAAGTGTACTTAAAAGACAACGCAAAGAACTGGAAGAATCTTTCAATGAGCTTAGAGAATTCACTAAACTAGATAATCAGCTGGAGATTTTGGACCTGAAGAAACAGCTCACAGAAGCCAATTCTAAATCGATCGTTACAGTCAGGAACTCCGCCAAGTAACGGATGCGTACAACGAAGAAATAGAAAGAGTTCAAAAAAATTCTCAAAAAGCGCAAGAATTTCATCGACTTGCAATACAGACTCGATTTTCTGGAAAAAAATAATAAAAAGACTAAAAACATACGAGTCAGAAATAGAGATGCTGCGTACTCAACTGAAGAACCTAGGAAGATCAGAGAGCCCTAAACCATCTCTTGAAGCTCAAAATATTGAGTCAAAAAAGAAGGTTGCAGACTTAGAAGCTATGCTTGACGCTGAGTACGAAGATATGCAAGATTCTTTAAGTGCTGCTGCACAAACTGATGTAACGATGTCACACATTGCTGAACTGCAAGATGAAATTGGCTTCCTAAAAGAACTTGAATCTAAACTGAGAAATGACGTAAAGAGTCTGATGGACGAGAGTAACCAACGTGAGGTCAACCACTCATTTAAAATCTCAGATATACGATGCCATAATGATTCTACTATAAAAGAGCTTCAGGATCAAATGGCTGAACTGGAATGCCAAAACGAAATCTGGATTATGAAAAGTGCCCCTCTTTATAACCCGTGAAATAGCCCTAGTTCTAATTAAATTTCAGTTCAAGCTTCCAAAATGACTTCCGACAATATTAAAGTAGCCACAAAGATCAGACCAATGATCCACCGCGAAGTAGCCGATGGTCTAGAGCGTCTTTGGAACGTAAGAGTAAACTGCATATGGGAAGCCGATGAAAGTAGTCGCCATGGAGAGGTTTATATATTCGACCATGTATTTAAGCAGGAATGTACAAATTCAGATGTATATGGATCTGTAGTAAAACCTTTAGTCGATTCCTTCATGGAAGGTTTCAATGCCACAATATTTGCATATGGCCAAACATCTTCTGGCAAAACACACACCATTTTGGGCAATAAAACAGATCCTGGGCTTTTCCAATTAGTATCCAATCAGTTATTCCAGCATGTGGCAGACCAGGTTGATAAGAGGTACTTGATTAGATGCAGTTATATTGAAATCTACAATGAAAAGATCAATGACCTCCTGGATAAGAGCAATCAGGGTTTAACTATAAGAGAAGATATCAAAGGAAATGTGCTGCTTGATGCAAGGGAAGCTGTCGTAGACAATGTTGATAAAGTTATGGAGAACATGATGCAGGGCAATAAGATCAGACGAGTTGCAGCTACTCGCATGAATGAGAGGTCATCTCGATCACACACGATTTTCCGGATTATTCTGGAGTCGAAAGATGCCAATCAGAAAGATGGACCTGTACATATAAGCTACCTTAACTTAATGGACTTAGCTGGTTCTGAGAGAGTTTCTCTGACGAAAGCTGCTGGTGAGCGTCTTAAAGAGGGGGCTAACATAAACAAATCTTTGTCAGTATTAGGAAATGTGATAAGGCAACTAAGCGAGGGGAAGGAGTTTATCAGTTATCGCGATTCGAAATTGACTAGACTGCTCTCACAGGCTCTTGGCGGTAATGCCAAATCATTGATTATCGGGAATGTTACTTTAGCTGCAGAGGAGGAGACTAGATCTACACCAGAATTCGCCCAAAGCACTAAAACTGTCAAAAATAAAACGAAAGTAAACATCTTGTCAGCTACAGAAGAGACACTTCAAGGATATCAGAACTTGACTCGCGATCTCGAAACTCGGCTCAAAAAGCAGGCAATTAAGCTAAAAGAGATGGATAAAAGCAAACAAGAGTATCTGCTCGAGATAGAAAGACTAAAAACGGAAGTATCTATTGTCGGGCGCTTTCAAATGGGAGCCTCGGCATCAACACCGAAAAAACATTAAGACGTCATACTTTTGGACACTATGGCAACGTATCACCTAAAAAAGCATCCCTAGGGTATATGCCATTGAAAAATTATCCACCCAAAGAAGAATCATCCGGACGTGAAATGAGGCCTATTCAAGAAGAGACATATGAGGAGGCACTAGCCGAAGCAGAATCTGTGATAGCTGAAGACGTGCAAGTGTACTTAAAAGACAACGCAAAGAACTGGAAGAATCTTTCAATGAGCTTAGAGAATTCACTAAACTAGATAATCAGCTGGAGATTTTGGACCTGAAGAAACAGCTCACAGAAGCCAATTCTAAATCGATCGTTACAGTCAGGAACTCCGCCAAGTAACGGATGCGTACAACGAAGAAATAGAAAGAGTTCAAAAAAATTCTCAAAAAGCGCAAGAATTTCATCGACTTGCAATACAGACTCGATTTTCTGGAAAAAAATAATAAAAAGACTAAAAACATACGAGTCAGAAATAGAGATGCTGCGTACTCAACTGAAGAACCTAGGAAGATCAGAGAGCCCTAAACCATCTCTTGAAGCTCAAAATATTGAGTCAAAAAAGAAGGTTGCAGACTTAGAAGCTATGCTTGACGCTGAGTACGAAGATATGCAAGATTCTTTAAGTGCTGCTACACAAACTGATGTAACGATGTCACACATTGCTGAACTGCAAGATGAAATTGGCTTCCTAAAAGAACTTGAATCTAAACTGAGAAATGACGTAAAGAGTCTGATGGACGAGAGTAACCAACGTGAGGTCAACCACTCATTTAAAATCTCAGATATACGATGCCATAATGATTCTACTATAAAGAGCTTCAGGATCAAATGGCTGAACTGGAATGCCAAAACGAAATCTGGATTATGAAAAGTGCCCCTCTTTATAACCCGTGAAATAGCCCTAGTTCTAATTAAATTTCAGTTCAAGCTTCCAAAATGACTTCCGACAATATTAAAGTAGCCACAAAGATCAGACCAATGATCCACCGCGAAGTAGCCGATGGTCTAGAGCGTCTTTGGAACGTAAGAGTAAACTGCATATGGGAAGCCGATGAAAGTAGTCGCCATGGAGAGGTTTATATATTCGACCATGTATTTAAGCAGGAATGTACAAATTCAGATGTATATGGATCTGTAGTAAAACCTTTAGTCGATTCCTTCATGGAAGGTTTCAATGCCACAATATTTGCATATGGCCAAACATCTTCTGGCAAAACACACACCATTTTGGGCAATAAAACAGATCCTGGGCTTTTCCAATTAGTATCCAATCAGTTATTCCAGCATGTGGCAGACCAGGTTGATAAGAGGTACTTGATTAGATGCAGTTATATTGAAATCTACAATGAAAAGATCAATGACCTCCTGGATAAGAGCAATCAGGGTTTAACTATAAGAGAAGATATCAAAGGAAATGTGCTGCTTGATGCAAGGGAAGCTGTCGTAGACAATGTTGATAAAGTTATGGAGAACATGATGCAGGGCAATAAGATCAGACGAGTTGCAGCTACTCGCATGAATGAGAGGTCATCTCGATCACACACGATTTTCCGGATTATTCTGGAGTCGAAAGATGCCAATCAGAAAGATGGACCTGTACATATAAGCTACCTTAACTTAATGGACTTAGCTGGTTCTGAGAGAGTTTCTCTGACGAAAGCTGCTGGTGAGCGTCTTAAAGAGGGGGCTAACATAAACAAATCTTTGTCAGTATTAGGAAATGTGATAAGGCAACTAAGCGAGGGGAAGGAGTTTATCAGTTATCGCGATTCGAAATTGACTAGACTGCTCTCACAGGCTCTTGGCGGTAATGCCAAATCATTGATTATCGGGAATGTTACTTTAGCTGCAGAGGAGGAGACTAGATCTACACCAGAATTCGCCCAAAGCACTAAAACTGTCAAAAATAAAACGAAAGTAAACATCTTGTCAGCTACAGAAGAGACACTTCAAGGATATCAGAACTTGACTCGCGATCTCGAAACTCGGCTCAAAAAGCAGGCAATTAAGCTAAAAGAGATGGATAAAAGCAAACAAGAGTATCTGCTCGAGATAGAAAGACTAAAAACGGAAGTATCTATTGTCGGGCGCTTTCAAATGGGAGCCTCGGCATCAACACCGAAAAAAACATTAAGACGTCATACTTTTGGACACTATGGCAACGTATCACCTAAAAAAGCATCCCTAGGGTATATGCCATTGAAAAATTATCCACCCAAAGAAGAATCATCCGGACGTGAAATGAGGCCTATTCAAGAAGAGACATATGAGGAGGCACTAGCCGAAGCAGAATCTGTGATAGCTGAAGACGTGCAAGTGTACTTAAAAGACAACTCAAAGAACTGGAAGAATCTTTCAATGAGCTTAGAGAATTCACTAAACTAGATAATCAGCTGGAGATTTTGGACCTGAAGAAACAGCTCACAGAAGCCAATTCTAAATTCGATCGTTACAGTCAGGAACTCCGCCAAGTAACGGATGCGTACAACGAAGAAATAGAAAGAGTTCAAAAAAATTCTCAAAAAGCGCAAGAATTTCATCGACTTGCAATACAGACTCGATTTTCTGGAAAAAAATAATAAAAAGACTAAAAACATACGAGTCAGAAATAGAGATGCTGCGTACTCAACTGAAGAACCTAGGAAGATCAGAGAGCCCTAAACCATCTCTTGAAGCTCAAAATATTGAGTCAAAAAAGAAGGTTGCAGACTTAGAAGCTATGCTTGACGCTGAGTACGAAGATATGCAACATTCTTTAAGTGCTGCTGCACAAACTGATGTAACGATGTCACACATTGCTGAACTGCAAGATGAAATTGGCTTCCTAAAAGAACTTGAATCTAAACTGAGAAATGACGTAAAGAGTCTGATGGACGAGAGTAACCAACGTGAGGTCAACCACTCATTTAAAATCTCAGATATACGATGCCATAATGATTCTACTATAAAAGAGCTTCAGGATCAAATGGCTGAACTGGAATGCCAAAACGAAATCTGGATTATGAAAAAGGACGACGAAATCAGAAAATTGCAACAACTAATTACAAACCCGAAGCAGGCTGGCACTTAACCAGAACCACCTGTGCAGGAAGACGTTGCATTTTATAGGGAGCAAGTTGAGTTCTCCCAGAACATGTACAAAAATGAGATAATAGGTGGAGAGTTACGTATAAACCATAGAGAAAATCTTCAGGCAGTTAAACTAGAAATATGTCTACCCTTGTTTAGTGTTTACGATTATTGCAGGGTTTGGACAAAGTTTAGGGCTGATCCCAGTGCTCACAGTGTACAATTTTCAGCTAATAAATCTTGAATTCTGAGGTAACAAAATCAACTAGAACTCTGAAAAAGTGATTTATCAGAAATCATGCCCTTACTTCCATGATAAGAGGGATTCGTAAAAATTATAAGCAGGTTGTGGCTTATTATCTAGTAAAAGATACAAGAATCCCAGATCTGAAAACGATTATTGTTCATGTGATCACAAACTAGCAGCGACTTGGTTTGTGCGTTGTTGGCACTATTTCTAATCAGGGCGCAACGATCAAAAACGCACTTGAGACGATTTGCTCGGAGAATACTCACGGATCAAGTCCATTCCATTTTATAGTCAATGCTCAGAGTATTTCTACAATTTGTGATGAACCACATTTATTCAAAAATGGATGAAATGCTCTTATTGACATTAATATGAAAGTGAAGAAGCTGCACAGATTGAACATGTCTAGAAATCATATAATGTTGATCAGCAAACAAGACCATACAAAGAGCTATGTAAATTGAAACCCAGCCACTTTGATTTTATAGATTCGTTCAAGAATATAGAAATTAATCCTTTAATGATATCGTCGGATGATTCGAGCTTTCTCAGTTATGTGGTGGGGGTCCCGTGACTTCTCATACGGTATGAGCACGTATACCTCAAACCACAGTTTAATTTAAACATCACAATTGTTGGTTTGTTGACTTTGCGGTCAAATTTGATCCGAGGATGTCAGTTGCGTGTACGATTTGAACTTCCTTCACAATGGATTTTTTCGTTGTTGACGGATGAACAATACACTATAGACTACGCCGAGGACGACGCTGCTATCGATCAACCTGAACAACTTCCTATGGGCGACCTCGCTATGCCTATGGAAAAAACATGTACAATTGGTCAAAACGAGCGCCTGCAACTGGTCGATTATTACGCATTTACCTGAACTAAAGTCCGTGGCAACCAATTTGGAAAATAATAACCCTGTGACTCGAGAAATGCCGATAAATTTCTCCAAATACGTGAAATTTTCGAGACACTCATAGAGAACTGTCGAAATTGTTATATTTCGGGTGAGTCCCCTACAAAATACGAGATGCTCGTGGGCCGATGTCCTTCCTGTGCCTACAAGAAAACTAAACCGAATAAGTATGGACTGATGATGCAAAGACTCACCACTACCTGCTCAATGCTTTCGTCTATACGAACAGAAATATCACAGCAGATGACTGGTTCACGTCAGTAGAATTACATGTAGAATTGCGCATCAACCAACTGACCTATGTCGGCAGGAAGCGTAAAAATAAGTAACAAGTACCCCAACATGTAGTTCCAAATAAGAAGGAAACACAGCCAGGTACTTCTAAGTTTATGTTGTACAGCCTTAGAGTAGTATCTTCCAAAACCAAATACACATGTTCTCGTATAGCAATCTATGCAGCATGATAACAAAATAGTAGAGGAATCAAAGAAACCTGATAAGATCCTATATTATTTTTATAACACTATGAAGGCGGGGGGTAATGCATTAGATCGGAAGTGTGTAAATTACAATACTGGTTAGAGAACGAGAAGATGGCCTTGTGCTATTTGGTATCCAACCAGCTTCTGTAAATTCCTTTTTTTTTCAGTCTGGGACTGAAAGTTCCATTAGGCGACGAAATTTTATTGTTCCCCTGAGGCAAACTCTAATTTAACTTCGTATGAGAGGACGTTTATCAGATCCAAGACTTCCTAGGGAGCTTCGTTCAGCCATGCAAAGAATCCTAAATTACCAACGACGAATAAAGTAAGCCGTCTACTTCTCAGCCCAGAGTTCTCGATCCTGATGCAGTTGTTAAAGAAAAAAAACGACGTAGGTGTTACATGACAATACACAATGAAAAAAATGTTCTACAATCTGTAATAAGTATGTAAAGTCACAGCGCACTTACATTGTTTCGTGAAAAGTGATAAATGTTAATTATTGTATGTTTCCTTATACGAGAAAGTATTTGTTTTTGTTGTAGAATATCAACACCAAATATGTTGTTAAATGGCCCATTTTGTTAGTTTTTTTATGTTCATATTACAGTTCAAGTTTCGAGGATTATATTTATTGCATTACTCATCTTCAATGGGGTATTTTCGTTTTTAGACAATAAACAGTTTTCATGTAAGAGTGTCTTATGCGTACAAACCTGTTGTACACATGGCTAAAAACAGTAATGGCATTTCAGATGTTGATAGTAAGATCCGGTGGATAACCTGTTTTGCGAGATTAGACGTGGGATTTCCAACACGAACACCATCTGTTTATTTGAAGCATTAAAAACTGTAATAATCAACAATTTCAGTTTTCCATTGACAATAATGAAGAATTATGAAGGCGATTCATGTAAGGCACTAGGTAACTTCGCGTTGCTTTTAGAAGAGTATTGTCTGAATAGACAACAGTTACCTTGTGATTCTTCACCGAGCTGCATTTTTCAAGTTGAAAAATCGGGTGCTGAAAGTGATGGATCTATAGATTTGTGAGAATTTGCTGCTGCTTCAACTTCTTTTTGTAATAACAATAACAGTCTATATGAAATTTAACAATTCTGTTTCTTCTTTGATTTTGAGTCACCCTGTAAATGTAGCTCTACTAAACTATCGGACCGCATTCATAGCCTACAAGAGAAAAAAATCTTCTATACTGGAAAGGAGGAAAAAAAGAATGTATCAACCTGATACATCTGCCCCTCTTTATAACCCGTGAAATAGCCCTAGTTCTAATTAAATTTCAGTTCAAGCTTCCAAAATGACTTCCAACAATATTAAAGTAGCCACAAAGATCAGACCAATGATCCACCGCGAAGTAGCCGATGGTCTAGAGCGTCTTTGGAACGTAAGAGTAAACTGCATATGGGAAGCCGATGAAAGTAGTCGCCATGGAGAGGTTTATATATTCGACCATGTATTTAATCAGGAATGTACAAATTCAGATGTATATGGATCTGTAGTAAAACCTTTAGTCGATTCCTTCATGGAAGGTTTCAATGCCACAATATTTGCATATGGCCAAACATCTTCTGGCAAAACACACACCATTTTGGGCAATAAAACAGATCCTGGGCTTTTCCAATTAGTATCCAATCAGTTATTCCAGCATGTGGCAGACCAGGTTGATAAGAGGTACTTGATTAGATGCAGTTATATTGAAATCTACAATGAAAAGATCAATGACCTCCTGGATAAGAGCAATCAGGGTTTAACTATGAGAAGATATCAAAGGAAATGTGCTGCTTGATGCAAGGGAAGCTGTCGTAGACAATGTTGATAAAGTTATGGAGAACATGATGCAGGGCAATAAGATCAGACGAGTTGCAGCTACTCGCATGAATGAGAGGTCATCTCGATCACACACGATTTTCCGGATTATTCTGGAGTCGAAAGATGCCAATCAGAAAGATGGACCTGTACATATAAGCTACCTTAACTTAATGGACTTAGCTGGTTCTGAGAGAGTTTCTCTGACGAAAGCTGCTGGTGAGCGTCTTAAAGAGGGGGCTAACATAAACAAATCTTTGTCAGTATTAGGAAATGTGATAAGGCAACTAAGCGAGGGGAAGGAGTTTATCAGTTATCGCGATTCGAAATTGACTAGACTGCTCTCACAGGCTCTTGGCGGTAATGCCAAATCATTGATTATCGGGAATGTTACTTTAGCTGCAGAGGAGGAGACTAGATCTACACCAGAATTCGCCCAAAGCACTAAAACTGTCAAAAATAAAACGAAAGTAAACATCTTGTCAGCTACAGAAGAGACACTTCAAGGATATCAGAACTTGACTCGCGATCTCGAAACTCGGCTCAAAAAGCAGGCAATTAAGCTAAAAGAGATGGATAAAAGCAAACAAGAGTATCTGCTCGAGATAGAAAGACTAAAAACGGAAGTATCTATTGTCGGGCGCTTTCAAATGGGAGCCTCGGCATCAACACCGAAAAAAACATTAAGACGTCATACTTTTGGACACTATGGCAACGTATCACCTAAAAAAGCATCCCTAGGGTATATGCCATTGAAAAATTATCCACCCAAAGAAGAATCATCCGGACGTGAAATGAGGCCTATTCAAGAAGAGACATATGAGGAGGCACTAGCCGAAGCAGAATCTGTGATAGCTGAAGACGTGCAAGTGTACTTAAAAGACAACGCAAAGAACTGGAAGAATCTTTCAATGAGCTTAGAGAATTCACTAAACTAGATAATCAGCTGGAGATTTTGGACCTGAAGAAACAGCTCACAGAAGCCAATTCTAAAATCGATCGTTACAGTCAGGAACTCCGCCAAGTAACGGATGCGTACAACGAAGAAATAGAAAGAGTTCAAAAAAATTCTCAAAAAGCGCAAGAATTTCATCGACTTGCAATACAGACTCGATTTTCTGGAAAAAAATAATAAAAAGACTAAAAACATACGAGTCAGAAATAGAGATGCTGCGTACTCAACTGAAGAACCTAGGAAGATCAGAGAGCCCTAAACCATCTCTTGAAGCTCAAAATATTGAGTCAAAAAAGAAGGTTGCAGACTTAGAAGCTATGCTTGACGCTGAGTACGAAGATATGCAAGATTCTTTAAGTGCTGCTACACAAACTGATGTAACGATGTCACACATTGCTGAACTGCAAGATGAAATTGGCTTCCTAAAAGAACTTGAATCTAAACTGAGAAATGACGTAAAGAGTCTGATGGACGAGAGTAACCAACGTGAGGTCAACCACTCATTTAAAATCTCAGATATACGATGCCATAATGATTCTACTATAAAAGAGCTTCAGGATCAAATGGCTGAACTGGAATGCCAAACGAAATCTGGATTATGAAAAGTGCCCCTCTTTATAACCCGTGAAATAGCCCTAGTTCTAATTAAATTTCAGTTCAAGCTTCCAAAATGACTTCCGACAATATTAAAGTAGCCACAAAGATCAGACCAATGATCCACCGCGAAGTAGCCGATGGTCTAGAGCGTCTTTGGAACGTAAGAGTAAACTGCATATGGGAAGCCGATGAAAGTAGTCGCCATGGAGAGGTTTATATATTCGACCATGTATTTAAGCAGGAATGTACAAATTCAGATGTATATGGATCTGTAGTAAAACCTTTAGTCGATTCCTTCATGGAAGGTTTCAATGCCACAATATTTGCATATGGCCAAACATCTTCTGGCAAAACACACACCATTTTGGGCAATAAAACAGATCCTGGGCTTTTCCAATTAGTATCCAATCAGTTATTCCAGCATGTGGCAGACCAGGTTGATAAGAGGTACTTGATTAGATGCAGTTATATTGAAATCTACAATGAAAAGATCAATGACCTCCTGGATAAGAGCAATCAGGGTTTAACTATAAGAGAAGATATCAAAGGAAATGTGCTGCTTGATGCAAGGGAAGCTGTCGTAGACAATGTTGATAAAGTTATGGAGAACATGATGCAGGGCAATAAGATCAGACGAGTTGCAGCTACTCGCATGAATGAGAGGTCATCTCGATCACACACGATTTTCCGGATTATTCTGGAGTCGAAAGATGCCAATCAGAAAGATGGACCTGTACATATAAGCTACCTTAACTTAATGGACTTAGCTGGTTCTGAGAGAGTTTCTCTGACGAAAGCTGCTGGTGAGCGTCTTAAAGAGGGGGCTAACATAAACAAATCTTTGTCAGTATTAGGAAATGTGATAAGGCAACTAAGCGAGGGGAAGGAGTTTATCAGTTATCGCGATTCGAAATTGACTAGACTGCTCTCACAGGCTCTTGGCGGTAATGCCAAATCATTGATTATCGGGAATGTTACTTTAGCTGCAGAGGAGGAGACTAGATCTACACCAGAATTCGCCCAAAGCACTAAAACTGTCAAAAATAAAACGAAAGTAAACATCTTGTCAGCTACAGAAGAGACACTTCAAGGATATCAGAACTTGACTCGCGATCTCGAAACTCGGCTCAAAAAGCAGGCAATTAAGCTAAAAGAGATGGATAAAAGCAAACAAGAGTATCTGCTCGAGATAGAAAGACTAAAAACGGAAGTATCTATTGTCGGGCGCTTTCAAATGGGAGCCTCGGCATCAACACCGAAAAAAACATTAAGACGTCATACTTTTGGACACTATGGCAACGTATCACCTAAAAAAGCATCCCTAGGGTATATGCCATTGAAAAATTATCCACCCAAAGAAGAATCATCCGGACGTGAAATGAGGCCTATTCAAGAAGAGACATATGAGGAGGCACTAGCCGAAGCAGAATCTGTGATAGCTGAAGACGTGCAAGTGTACTTAAAAGACAACTCAAAGAACTGGAAGAATCTTTCAATGAGCTTAGAGAATTCACTAAACTAGATAATCAGCTGGAGATTTTGGACCTGAAGAAACAGCTCACAGAAGCCAATTCTAAATTCGATCGTTACAGTCAGGAACTCCGCCAAGTAACGGATGCGTACAACGAAGAAATAGAAAGAGTTCAAAAAAATTCTCAAAAAGCGCAAGAATTTCATCGACTTGCAATACAGACTCGATTTTCTGGAAAAAAATAATAAAAAGACTAAAAACATACGAGTCAGAAATAGAGATGCTGCGTACTCAACTGAAGAACCTAGGAAGATCAGAGAGCCCTAAACCATCTCTTGAAGCTCAAAATATTGAGTCAAAAAAGAAGGTTGCAGACTTAGAAGCTATGCTTGACGCTGAGTACGAAGATATGCAACATTCTTTAAGTGCTGCTGCACAAACTGATGTAACGATGTCACACATTGCTGAACTGCAAGATGAAATTGGCTTCCTAAAAGAACTTGAATCTAAACTGAGAAATGACGTAAAGAGTCTGATGGACGAGAGTAACCAACGTGAGGTCAACCACTCATTTAAAATCTCAGATATACGATGCCATAATGATTCTACTATAAAAGAGCTTCAGGATCAAATGGCTGAACTGGAATGCCAAAACGAAATCTGGATTATGAAAAAGGACGACGAAATCAGAAATTGCAACAACTAATTACAAACCCGAAGCAGGCTGGCACTTAACCAGAACCACCTGTGCAGGAAGACGTTGCATTTTATAGGGAGCAAGTTGAGTTCTCCCAGAACATGTACAAAAATGAGATAATAGGTGGAGAGTTACGTATAAACCATAGAGAAAATCTTCAGGCAGTTAAACTAGAAATATGTCTACCCTTGTTTAGTGTTTACGATTATTGCAGGGTTTGGACAAAGTTTAGGGCTGATCCCAGTGCTCACAGTGTACAATTTTCAGCTAATAAATCTTGAATTCTGAGGTAACAAAATCAACTAGAACTCTGAAAAAGTGATTTATCAGAAATCATGCCCTTACTTCCATGATAAGAGGGATTCGTAAAAATTATAAGCAGGTTGTGGCTTATTATCTAGTAAAAGATACAAGAATCCCAGATCTGAAAACGATTATTGTTCATGTGATCACAAACTAGCAGCGACTTGGTTTGTGCGTTGTTGGCACTATTTCTAATCAGGGCGCAACGATCAAAAACGCACTTGAGACGATTTGCTCGGAGAATACTCACGGATCAAGTCCATTCCATTTTATAGTCAATGCTCAGAGTATTTCTACAATTTGTGATGAACCACATTTATTCAAAAATGGATGAAATGCTCTTATTGACATTAATATGAAAGTGAAGAAGCTGCACAGATTGAACATGTCTAGAAATCATATAATGTTGATCAGCAAACAAGACCATACAAAGAGCTATGTAAATTGAAACCCAGCCACTTTGATTTTATAGATTCGTTCAAGAATATAGAAATTAATCCTTTAATGATATCGTCGGATGATTCGAGCTTTCTCAGTTATGTGGTGGGGGTCCCGTGACTTCTCATACGGTATGAGCACGTATACCTCAAACCACAGTTTAATTTAAACATCACAATTGTTGGTTTGTTGACTTTGCGGTCAAATTTGATCCGAGGATGTCAGTTGCGTGTACGATTTGAACTTCCTTCACAATGGATTTTTTCGTTGTTGACGGATGAACAATACACTATAGACTACGCCGAGGACGACGCTGCTATCGATCAACCTGAACAACTTCCTATGGGCGACCTCGCTATGCCTATGGAAAAAACATGTACAATTGGTCAAAACGAGCGCCTGCAACTGGTCGATTATTACGCATTTACCTGAACTAAAGTCCGTGGCAACCAATTTGGAAAATAATAACCCTGTGACTCGAGAAATGCCGATAAATTTCTCCAAATACGTGAAATTTTCGAGACACTCATAGAGAACTGTCGAAATGTTATATTTCGGGTGAGTCCCCTACAAAATACGAGATGCTCGTGGGCCGATGTCCTTCCTGTGCCTACAAGAAAACTAAACCGAATAAGTATGGACTGATGATGCAAAGACTCACCACTACCTGCTCAATGCTTTCGTCTATACGAACAGAAATATCACAGCAGATGACTGGTTCACGTCAGTAGAATTACATGTAGAATTGCGCATCAACCAACTGACCTATGTCGGCAGGAAGCGTAAAAATAAGTAACAAGTACCCCAACATGTAGTTCCAAATAAGAAGGAAACACAGCCAGGTACTTCTAAGTTTATGTTGTACAGCCTTAGAGTAGTATCTTCCAAAACCAAATACACATGTTCTCGTATAGCAATCTATGCAGCATGATAACAAAATAGTAGAGGAATCAAAGAAACCTGATAAGATCCTATATTATTTTTATAACACTATGAAGGCGGGGGGTAATGCATTAGATCGGAAGTGTGTAAATTACAATACTGGTTAGAGAACGAGAAGATGGCCTTGTGCTATTTGGTATCCAACCAGCTTCTGTAAATTCCTTTTTTTTCAGTCTGGGACTGAAAGTTCCATTAGGCGACGAAATTTTATTGTTCCCCTGAGGCAAACTCTAATTTAACTTCGTATGAGAGGACGTTTATCAGATCCAAGACTTCCTAGGGAGCTTCGTTCAGCCATGCAAAGAATCCTAAATTACCAACGACGAATAAAGTAAGCCGTCTACTTCTCAGCCCAGAGTTCTCGATCCTGATGCAGTTGTAAAGAAAAAAAACGACGTAGGTGTTACATGACAATACACAATGAAAAAAATGTTCTACAATCTGTAATAAGTATGTAAAGTCACAGCGCACTACATTGTTTCGTGAAAAGTGATAAATGTTAATTATTGTATGTTTCCTTATACGAGAAAGTATTGTTTTTGTTGTAGAATATCAACACCAAATATGTTGTTAAATGGCCCATTTTGTTAGTTTTTTATGTTCATATTACAGTTCAAGTTTCGAGGATTATATTTATTGCATTACTCATCTTCAATGGGGTATTTTCGTTTTTAGACAATAAACAGTTTTCATGTAAGAGTGTCTTATGCGTACAAACCTGTTGTACACATGGCTAAAAACAGTAATGGCATTTCAGATGTTGATAGTAAGATCCGGTGGATAACCTGTTTTGCGAGATTAGACGTGGGATTTCCAACACGAACACCATCTGTTTATTTGAAGCATTAAAAACTGTAATAATCAACAATTTCAGTTTTCCATTGACAATAATGAAGAATTATGAAGGCGATTCATGTAAGGCACTAGGTAACTTCGCGTTGCTTTTAGAAGAGTATTGTCTGAATAGACAACAGTTACCTTGTGATTCTTCACCGAGCTGCATTTTTCAAGTTGAAAAATCGGGTGCTGAAAGTGATGGATCTATAGATTTGTGAGAATTTGCTGCTGCTTCAACTTCTTTTTGTAATAACAATAACAGTCTATATGAAATTTAACAATTCTGTTTCTTCTTTGATTTTGAGTCACCCTGTAAATGTAGCTCTACTAAACTATCGGACCGCATTCATAGCCTACAAGAGAAAAAAATCTTCTATACTGGAAAGGAGGAAAAAAAGAATGTATCAACCTGATACATCTGCCCCTCTTTATACCCGTGAAATAGCCCTAGTTCTAATTAAATTTCAGTTCAAGCTTCCAAAATGACTTCCAACAATATTAAAGTAGCCACAAAGATCAGACCAATGATCCACCGCGAAGTAGCCGATGGTCTAGAGCGTCTTTGGAACGTAAGAGTAAACTGCATATGGGAAGCCGATGAAAGTAGTCGCCATGGAGAGGTTTATATATTCGACCATGTATTTAATCAGGAATGTACAAATTCAGATGTATATGGATCTGTAGTAAAACCTTTAGTCGATTCCTTCATGGAAGGTTTCAATGCAACAATATTTGCATATGGCCAAACATCTTCTGGCAAAACACACACCATTTTGGGCAATAAAACAGATCCTGGGCTTTTCCAATTAGTATCCAATCAGTTATTCCAGCATGTGGCAGACCAGGTTGATAAGAGGTACTTGATTAGATGCAGTTATATTGAAATCTACAATGAAAAGATCAATGACCTCCTGGATAAGAGCAATCAGGGTTTAACTATAGAGAAGATATCAAAGGAAATGTGCTGCTTGATGCAAGGGAAGCTGTCGTAGACAATGTTGATAAAGTTATGGAGAACATGATGCAGGGCAATAAGATCAGACGAGTTGCAGCTACTCGCATGAATGAGAGGTCATCTCGATCACACACGATTTTCCGGATTATTCTGGAGTCGAAAGATGCCAATCAGAAAGATGGACCTGTACATATAAGCTACCTTAACTTAATGGACTTAGCTGGTTCTGAGAGAGTTTCTCTGACGAAAGCTGCTGGTGAGCGTCTAAAGAGGGGGCTAACATAAACAAATCTTTGTCAGTATTAGGAAATGTGATAAGGCAACTAAGCGAGGGGAAGGAGTTTATCAGTTATCGCGATTCGAAATTGACTAGACTGCTCTCACAGGCTCTTGGCGGTAATGCCAAATCATTGATTATCGGGAATGTTACTTTAGCTGCAGAGGAGGAGACTAGATCTACACCAGAATTCGCCCAAAGCACTAAAACTGTCAAAAATAAAACGAAAGTAAACATCTTGTCAGCTACAGAAGAGACACTTCAAGGATATCAGAACTTGACTCGCGATCTCGAAACTCGGCTCAAAAAGCAGGCAATTAAGCTAAAAGAGATGGATAAAAGCAAACAAGAGTATCTGCTCGAGATAGAAAGACTAAAAACGGAAGTATCTATTGTCGGGCGCTTTCAAATGGGAGCCTCGGCATCAACACCGAAAAAAACATTAAGACGTCATACTTTTGGACACTATGGCAACGTATCACCTAAAAAAGCATCCCTAGGGTATATGCCATTGAAAAATTATCCACCCAAAGAAGAATCATCCGGACGTGAAATGAGGCCTATTCAAGAAGAGACATATGAGGAGGCACTAGCCGAAGCAGAATCTGTGATAGCTGAAGACGTGCAAGTGTACTTAAAAGACAACTCAAAGAACTGGAAGAATCTTTCAATGAGCTTAGAGAATTCACTAAACTAGATAATCAGCTGGAGATTTTGGACCTGAAGAAACAGCTCACAGAAGCCAATTCTAAATTCGATCGTTACAGTCAGGAACTCCGCCAAGTAACGGATGCGTACAACGAAGAAATAGAAAGAGTTCAAAAAAATTCTCAAAAGCGCAAGAATTTCATCGACTTGCAATACAGACTCGATTTTCTGGAAAAAAATAATAAAAAGACTAAAAACATACGAGTCAGAAATAGAGATGCTGCGTACTCAACTGAAGAACTAGGAAGATCAGAGAGCCCTAAACCATCTCTTGAAGCTCAAATATTGAGTCAAAAAGAAGGTTGCAGACTTAGAAGCTATGCTTGACGCTGAGTACGAAGATATGCAACATTCTTTAAGTGCTGCTGCACAAACTGATGTAACGATGTCACACATTGCTGAACTGCAAGATGAAATTGGCTTCCTAAAAGAACTTGAATCTAAACTGAGAAATGACGTAAAGAGTCTGATGGACGAGAGTAACCAACGTGAGGTCAACCACTCATTTAAAATCTCAGATATACGATGCCATAATGATTCTACTATAAAAGAGCTTCAGGATCAAATGGCTGAACTGGAATGCCAAACACGAAATCTGGATTATGAAAAAGGACGACGAAATCAGAAAATTGCAAACACTAATTACAAACCCGAAGCAGGCTGGGCACTTAACCAGAACCACCTGTGCAGGAAGACGTTGCATTTTATAGGGGAGCAAGTTGAGTTCTCCCAGAACATGTACAAAAATAAGATAATAGGTGGAGAGTTACGTATAAACCATAGAGAAAATCTTCAGGCAGTTAAACTAGAAATATGTCTACCCTTGTTTAGTGTTTACGATTATTGCAGGGTTTGGACAAAGTTTAGGGCTGATCCCAGTGCGGCTCACAGTGTACAATTTTCAGCTAATAATCTTGAATTCTGAGGTAACAAATCAACTAGAACTCTGAAAAAGTGATTTATCAGAAATCATGCCCTTACTTCCATGATAAGAGGGATTCGTAAAAATTATAAGCAGGTTGTGGCTTATTATCTAGTAAAGATACAAGAATCCCAGATCTGAAACGATTATTGTTCATGTGATCACAAACTTGCAGCGACTTGGTTTGTGCGTTGTTGGCACTATTTCTAATCAGGGCGCACGATCAAAAACGCACTTGAGACGATTTGCTCGGAGAATACTCAGCGGATCAAGTCCATTCCATTTTATAGTCAATGCTCAGAGTATTTCTACAATTTGTGATGAACCACATTTATTCAAAAATGGATGAAATGCTCTTATTGACATAATATGAAAGTGAAGAAGCTGCACAGATTGAACATGTCTAGAAATCATATAATGTTGATCAGCAAACAAGACCATACAAAGAGCCACTTGATGTATGATTCGTTCAAGAATATAGAAATTAATCCTTTAATGATATCGTCGGATGATTCGAGCTTTCTCAGTTATGTGGTGGGGGTCCCGTGACTTCTCATACGGTATGAGCACGTATACCTCAAACCACAGTTTAATTTAAACATCACAAGTGTTGGTTTGTTGACTTTGCGGTCAAATTTGATCCGAGGATGTCAGTTGCGTGTACGATTTGAACTTCCTTCACAATGGATTTTTTCGTTGTTGACGGATGAACAATACACTATAGACTACGCCGAGGACGACGCTGCTATCGATCAACCTGAACAACTTCCTATGGGCGACCTCGCTATGCCTATGGAAAAAACATGTACAATTGGTCAAAACGAGCGCCTGCAACTGGTCGATTATTACGCATTTACCTGACTAAAGTCCGTGGCAACCAATTGGAAAATAATAACCTGTGACTCGAGAAATGCCGATAATTTCTCCAATACGTGAAATTTTCGAGACACTCATAGAGAACTGTCGAAATTGTTATATTTCGGGTGAGTCCCCTACAAAATACGAGATGCTCGTGGGCCGATGTCCTTCCTGTGCCTACAAGAAACTAAACCGAATAAGTATGGACTGATGATGCAAAGACTCACACTACCTGCTCAATGCTTTCGTCTATACGAACAGAAATATCACAGCAGATGACTGGTTCACGTCAGTAGAATTAAATGTAGAATTGCGCATCAACCAACTGACCTATGTCGGCAGGAGCGTAAAAATAAGTAACAAGTACCCCCAACATGTAGTTCCAAATAAGAAGGAAACACAGCCAGGTACTTCTAAGTTTATGTTGCACTACAGCCTTAGTGTAGTATCTTCCAAAACCAAATACACATGTTCTCGTATAGCAATCTATGCAGCATGATAACAAAATAGTAGAGGAATCAAAGAAACCTGATAAGATCTATATTATTTTTATAACACTATGAAGGCGGGGGGTAATGCATTAGATCGGAAGTGTGTAAATTACAATACTGGTTAGAGAACGAGAAGATGGCCTTGTGCTATTTGGTATCCAACCAGCTTCTGTAAATTCCTTTTTTTTCAGTCTGGGACTGAAAGTTCCATTAGGCGACAAATTTTATTGTTCCCCTGAGGCAAACTCTAATTTAACTTCGTATGAGAGGACGTTTATCAGATCCAAGACTTCCTAGGGAGCTTCGTTCAGCCATGCAAAGAATCCTAAATTACCAACGACGAATAAAGTAAGCCGTCTACTTCTCAGCCCAGAGTTCTCGATCCTGATGCAGTTGTTAAAGAAAAAAAAAAACGACGTAGGTGTTACATGACAATACCAATGAAAAAATATTCACACTCTGTAATAAGTATGTAAAGTCACAGCGCACTTACTTGTTCGTGAAAAGTGATAAATGTTAATTATTGTATGTTTCCTTATACGAGAAAGTATTTGTTTTTGTTGTAGAATATCAACACCAAATATGGTTGTTAAATGGCCCATTTTGTTAGTTTTTTTATGTTCATATTACAGTTCAAGTTTCGAGGATTATATTTATTGCATTACTCATCTTCAATGGGTTTTCGTTTTTAGACAATAAACAGTTTTCATGTAAGAGTGTCTTATGCGTACAAACCTGTTGTACACATGGCTAAAAACAGTAATGGCATTTCAGATGTTGATAGTAAGATCCGGTGGATAACCTTGTTTGCGAGATTAGACGTGGGATTTCCAACACGAACCACCATCTGTTTATTTGAAGCATTAAAAACTGTAATATCAACAATTCAGTTTTCCATTGACAATAATGAAGAATTATAAGGCGATTCATGTAAGGCACTAGGTAACTTCGCGTTGCTTTAGAAGAGTATTGTCTGAATAGACAACAGTTCCTTGTGCTTCTTCACCGAGCTGCATTTTCAAGTTGAAAATCGGGTGCTGAAAGTGATGGAATAGAGATGGAGAATTTGCTGCTGCTTCAACTTCTTTTGTAATAACAATAACAGTCTATATGAAATTTAACAATTCTGTTCTTCTTTGATTTGAGTCACCCTGTAAATGTACGCTACTAAACTATCGGACGCATTCATAGCCTACAAGAGAAAAAAATCTCTATCTGGAAGGAGGAAAAAAAGAATGTATCAACCTGATACATCTGCCCCCTCTATAACCCGTGAAATAGCCCTAGTTCTAATTAAATTTCAGTTCAAGCTTCCAAAAGACTTCCAACAATATTAAAGTAGCACAAAGATCAGACCAATGATCCACCGCGAAGTAGCCGATGGTCTAGAGCGTCTTTGGAACGTAAGAGTAAACTGCAATGGGAAGCCGATGAAAGTAGTCGCCATGGAGAGGTTTATATATTCGACCATGTATTTAATCAGGAATGTACAAATTCAGATGTATATGGATCTGTAGTAAAACCTTTAGTCGATTCCTTCATGGAAGGTTTCAATGCCACAATATTTGCATATGGCCAAACATCTTCTGCAAAACACACACCATTTGGGCAATAAAACAGATCCTGGGCTTTTCCAATTAGTATCCAATCAGTTATTCCAGCATGTGGCAGACCAGGTTGATAAGGTACTTGATTAGATGCAGTTATATTGAAATCTACAATGAAAAGATCAATGACCTCCTGGATAAGAGCAATCAGGGTTTAACTATGAGAAGATATCAAAGGAAATGTGCTGCTTGATGCAAGGGAAGCTGTCGTAGACAATGTTGATAAAGTTATGGAGAACATGATGCAGGGCAATAAGATCAGACGAGTTGCAGCTACTCGCATGAATGAGAGGTCATCTCGATCACACACGATTTTCCGGATTATTCTGGAGTCGAAAGATGCCAATCAGAAAGATGGACCTGTACATATAAGCTACCTTAACTTAATGGACTTAGCTGGTTCTGAGAGAGTTTCTGACGAAAGCTGCTGGTGAGCGTCTTAAGAGGGGGCTAACATAAACAAATCTTTGTCAGTATTAGGAAATGTGATAAGGCAACTAAGCGAGGGGAAGGAGTTTATCAGTTATCGCGATTCGAAATTGACTAGACTGCTCTCACAGGCTCTTGGCGGTAATGCCAAATCATTGATTATCGGGAATGTTACTTTAGCTGCAGAGGAGGAGACTAGATCTACACCAGAATTCGCCCAAAGCACTAAAACTGTCAAAAATAAAACGAAAGTAAACATCTTGTCAGCTACAGAAGAGACACTTCAAGGATATCAGAACTTGACTCGCGATCTCGAAACTCGGCTCAAAAAGCAGGCAATTAAGCTAAAAGAGATGGATAAAAGCAAACAAGAGTATCTGCTCGAGATAGAAAGACTAAAACGGAAGTATCTATTGTCGGGCGCTTTCAAATGGGAGCCTCGGCATCACACCGAAAAAAAATTAAGACGTCATACTTTTGGACACTATGGCAACGTATCACCTAAAAAAGCATCCCTAGGGTATATGCCATTGAAAAATTATCCACCCAAAGAAGAATCATCCGGACGTGAAATGAGGCCTATTCAAGAAGAGACATATGAGGAGGCACTAGCCGAAGCAGAATCTGTGATAGCTGAAGACGTGCAAGTGTACTTAAAAGACAACGCAAAGAACTGGAAGAATCTTTCAATGAGCTTAGAGAATTCACTAAACTAGATAATCAGCTGGAGATTTTGGACCTGAAGAAACAGCTCACAGAAGCCAATTCTAAAATCGATCGTTACAGTCAGGAACTCCGCCAAGTAACGGGCGTACAACGAAGAAATAGAAAGAGTTCAAAAAATTCTCAAAAAGCGCAAGAATTTCATCGACTTGCAATACAGACTCGATTTTCTGGAAAAAAATATAAAAAGACTAAAAACATACGAGTCAGAAATAGAGATGCTGCGTACTCAACTGAAGAACCTAGGAACAGCAGAGAGCCCTAAACCATCTCTTGAAGCTCAAAATATTGAGTCAAAAAAGAAGGTTGCAGACTTAGAAGCTATGCTGACGCTGAGTACGAAGATATGCAAGATTCTTTAAGTGCTGCTACACAAACTGATGTAACGATGTCACACATTGCTGAACTGCAAGATGAAATTGGCTTCCTAAAAGAACTTGAATCTAAACTGAGAAATGACGTAAAGAGTCTGATGGACGAGAGTAACCAACGTGAGGTCAACCACTCATTTAAAATCTCAGATATACGATGCCATAATGATTCTACTATAAAAGCTTCAGGATCAAATGGCTGAACGGAATGCCAAAACGAAATCTGGATTATGAAAAGTGCCCCTCTTTATAACCCGTGAAATAGCCCTAGTTCTAATTAAATTTCAGTTCAAGCTTCCAAAATGACTTCCGACAATATTAAAGTAGCCACAAAGATCAGACCAATGATCCACCGCGAAGTAGCCGATGGTCTAGAGCGTCTTTGGAACGTAAGAGTAAACTGCATATGGGAAGCCGATGAAAGTAGTCGCCATGGAGAGGTTTATATATTCGACCATGTATTTAAGCAGGAATGTACAAATTCAGATGTATATGGATCTGTAGTAAAACCTTTAGTCGATTCCTTCATGGAAGGTTTCAATGCCACAATATTTGCATATGGCCAAACATCTTCTGGCAAACACACCATTTTGGGCAATAAACAGATCCTGGGCTTTTCCAATTAGTATCCAATCAGTTATTCCAGCATGTGGCAGACCAGGTTCATCTACAATGAAAAGATCAATGACCTCCTGGATAAGAGCAATCAGGGTTTAACTATGAGAAGATATCAAAGGAAATGTGCTGCTTGATGCAAGGGAAGCTGTCGTAGACAATGTTGATAAAGTTATGGAGAACATGATGCAGGGCAATAAGATCAGACGAGTTGCAGCTACTCGCATGAATGAGAGGTCATCTCGATCACACACGATTTTCCGGATTATTCTGGAGTCGAAAGATGCCAATCAGAAAGATGGACCTGTACATATAAGCTACCTTAACTTAATGGACTTAGCTGGTTCTGAGAGAGTTTCTCTGACGAAAGCTGCTGGTGAGCGTCTTAAAGAGGGGGCTAACATAAACAAATCTTTGTCAGTATTAGGAAATGTGATAAGGCAACTAAGCGAGGGGAAGGAGTTTATCAGTTATCGCGATTCGAAATTGACTAGACTGCTCTCACAGGCTCTTGGCGGTAATGCCAAATCATTGATTATCGGGAATGTTACTTTAGCTGCAGAGGAGGAGACTAGATCTACACCAGAATTCGCCCAAAGCACTAAAACTGTCAAAAATAAAACGAAAGTAAACATCTTGTCAGCTACAGAAGAGACACTTCAAGGATATCAGAACTTGACTCGCGATCTCGAAACTCGGCTCAAAAAGCAGGCAATTAAGCTAAAAGAGATGGATAAAAGCAAACAAGAGTATCTGCTCGAGATAGAAAGACTAAAAACGGAAGTATCTATTGTCGGGCGCTTTCAAATGGGAGCCTCGGCATCAACACCGAAAAAACATTAAGACGTCATACTTTTGGACACTATGGCAACGTATCACCTAAAAAAGCATCCCTAGGGTATATGCCATTGAAAAATTATCCACCCAAAGAAGAATCATCCGGACGTGAAATGAGGCCTATTCAAGAAGAGACATATGAGGAGGCACTAGCCGAAGCAGAATCTGTGATAGCTGAAGACGTGCAAGTGTACTTAAAAGACAACTCAAAGAACTGGAAGAATCTTTCAATGAGCTTAGAATTCACTAAACTAGATAATCAGCTGGAGATTTTGGACCTGAAGAAACAGCTCACAGAAGCCAATTCTAAATTCGATCGTTACAGTCAGGAACTCCGCCAAGTAACGGATGCGTACAACGAAGAAATAGAAAGAGTTCAAAAAAATTCTCAAAAAGCGCAAGAATTTCATCGACTTGCAATACAGACTCGATTTTCTGGAAAAAAATAATAAAAGACTAAAAACATACGAGTCAGAAATAGAGATGCTGCGTACTCAACTGAAGAACCTAGGAAGATCAGAGAGCCCTAAACCATCTCTTGAAGCTCAAAATATTGAGTCAAAAAAGAAGGTTGCAGACTTAGAAGCTATGCTTGACGCTGAGTACGAAGATATGCAACATTCTTTAAGTGCTGCTGCACAAACTGATGTAACGATGTCACACATTGCTGAACTGCAAGATGAAATTGGCTTCCTAAAAGAACTTGAATCTAAACTGAGAAATGACGTAAAGAGTCTGATGGACGAGAGTAACCAACGTGAGGTCAACCACTCATTTAAAATCTCAGATATACGATGCCATAATGATTCTACTATAAAAGAGCTTCAGGATCAAATGGCTGAACTGGAATGCCAAAACGAAATCTGGATTATGAAAAAGGACGACGAAATCAGAAAATTGCAACAACTAATTACAAACCCGAAGCAGGCTGGCACTTAACCAGAACCACCTGTGCAGGAAGACGTTGCATTTTATAGGGAGCAAGTTGAGTTCTCCCAGAACATGTACAAAAATGAGATAATAGGTGGAGAGTTACGTATAAACCATAGAGAAAATCTTCAGGCAGTTAAACTAGAAATATGTCTACCCTTGTTTAGTGTTTACGATTATTGCAGGGTTTGGACAAAGTTTAGGGCTGATCCCAGTGCTCACAGTGTACAATTTTCAGCTAATAAATCTTGAATTCTGAGGTAACAAAATCAACTAGAACTCTGAAAAAGTGATTTATCAGAAATCATGCCCTTACTTCCATGATAAGAGGGATTCGTAAAAATTATAAGCAGGTTGTGGCTTATTATCTAGTAAAAGATACAAGAATCCCAGATCTGAAAACGATTATTGTTCATGTGATCACAAACTAGCAGCGACTTGGTTTGTGCGTTGTTGGCACTATTTCTAATCAGGGCGCAACGATCAAAAACGCACTTGAGACGATTTGCTCGGAGAATACTCACGGATCAAGTCCATTCCATTTTATAGTCAATGCTCAGAGTATTTCTACAATTTGTGATGAACCACATTTATTCAAAAATGGATGAAATGCTCTTATTGACATTAATATGAAAGTGAAGAAGCTGCACAGATTGAACATGTCTAGAAATCATATAATGTTGATCAGCAAACAAGACCATACAAAGAGCTATGTAAATTGAAACCCAGCCACTTTGATTTTATAGATTCGTTCAAGAATATAGAAATTAATCCTTTAATGATATCGTCGGATGATTCGAGCTTTCTCAGTTATGTGGTGGGGGTCCCGTGACTTCTCATACGGTATGAGCACGTATACCTCAAACCACAGTTTAATTTAAACATCACAATTGTTGGTTTGTTGACTTTGCGGTCAAATTTGATCCGAGGATGTCAGTTGCGTGTACGATTTGAACTTCCTTCACAATGGATTTTTTCGTTGTTGACGGATGAACAATACACTATAGACTACGCCGAGGACGACGCTGCTATCGATCAACCTGAACAACTTCCTATGGGCGACCTCGCTATGCCTATGGAAAAAACATGTACAATTGGTCAAAACGAGCGCCTGCAACTGGTCGATTATTACGCATTTACCTGAACTAAAGTCCGTGGCAACCAATTTGGAAAATAATAACCCTGTGACTCGAGAAATGCCGATAAATTTCTCCAAATACGTGAAATTTTCGAGACACTCATAGAGAACTGTCGAAATTGTTATATTTCGGGTGAGTCCCCTACAAAATACGAGATGCTCGTGGGCCGATGTCCTTCCTGTGCCTACAAGAAAACTAAACCGAATAAGTATGGACTGATGATGCAAAGACTCACCACTACCTGCTCAATGCTTTCGTCTATACGAACAGAAATATCACAGCAGATGACTGGTTCACGTCAGTAGAATTACATGTAGAATTGCGCATCAACCAACTGACCTATGTCGGCAGGAAGCGTAAAAATAAGTAACAAGTACCCCAACATGTAGTTCCAAATAAGAAGGAAACACAGCCAGGTACTTCTAAGTTTATGTTGTACAGCCTTAGAGTAGTATCTTCCAAAACCAAATACACATGTTCTCGTATAGCAATCTATGCAGCATGATAACAAAATAGTAGAGGAATCAAAGAAACCTGATAAGATCCTATATTATTTTTATAACACTATGAAGGCGGGGGGTAATGCATTAGATCGGAAGTGTGTAAATTACAATACTGGTTAGAGAACGAGAAGATGGCCTTGTGCTATTTGGTATCCAACCAGCTTCTGTAAATTCCTTTTTTTTTCAGTCTGGGACTGAAAGTTCCATTAGGCGACGAAATTTTATTGTTCCCCTGAGGCAAACTCTAATTTAACTTCGTATGAGAGGACGTTTATCAGATCCAAGACTTCCTAGGGAGCTTCGTTCAGCCATGCAAAGAATCCTAAATTACCAACGACGAATAAAGTAAGCCGTCTACTTCTCAGCCCAGAGTTCTCGATCCTGATGCAGTTGTTAAAGAAAAAAAACGACGTAGGTGTTACATGACAATACACAATGAAAAAATGTTCTACAATCTGTAATAAGTATGTAAAGTCACAGCGCACTTACATTGTTTCGTGAAAAGTGATAAATGTTAATTATATGTTTCCTTATACGAGAAAGTATTTGTTTTTGTTGTAGAATATCAACACCAAATATGTTGTTAAATGGCCCATTTTGTTAGTTTTTTTATGTTCATATTACAGTTCAAGTTTCGAGGATTATATTTATTGCATTACTCATCTTCAATGGGGTATTTTCGTTTTTAGACAATAAACAGTTTTCATGTAAGAGTGTCTTATGCGTACAAACCTGTTGTACACATGGCTAAAAACAGTAATGGCATTTCAGATGTTGATAGTAAGATCCGGTGGATAACCTGTTTTGCGAGATTAGACGTGGGATTTCCAACACGAACACCATCTGTTTATTTGAAGCATTAAAAACTGTAATAATCAACAATTTCAGTTTTCCATTGACAATAATGAAGAATTATGAAGGCGATTCATGTAAGGCACTAGGTAACTTCGCGTTGCTTTTAGAAGAGTATTGTCTGAATAGACAACAGTTACCTTGTGATTCTTCACCGAGCTGCATTTTTCAAGTTGAAAAATCGGGTGCTGAAAGTGATGGATCTATAGATTTGTGAGAATTTGCTGCTGCTTCAACTTCTTTTTGTAATAACAATAACAGTCTATATGAAATTTAACAATTCTGTTTCTTCTTTGATTTTGAGTCACCCTGTAAATGTAGCTCTACTAAACTATCGGACCGCATTCATAGCCTACAAGAGAAAAAAATCTTCTATACTGGAAAGGAGGAAAAAAAGAATGTATCAACCTGATACATCTGCCCCTCTTTATAACCCGTGAAATAGCCCTAGTTCTAATTAAATTTCAGTTCAAGCTTCCAAAATGACTTCCAACAATATTAAAGTAGCCACAAAGATCAGACCAATGATCCACCGCGAAGTAGCCGATGGTCTAGAGCGTCTTTGGAACGTAAGAGTAAACTGCATATGGGAAGCCGATGAAAGTAGTCGCCATGGA